TTTTGATTTAATAGATAATATAAATAATAAAAAAATAGACAAAAACCTTTTGAAATATAGGACCTTAGTTTTCAGCCTGCATTTCAAGTGGTCTGGGATACAAAGATAATATTCATCAAGCTGATTCATAACAAAACGGCTATCATATTCAAGTTTTTTTGAAAAAGGTTCTGATGACTTGATTTTAGAAAGGAATGAATATTCACCATGAGATTTATCCCAATACTTTGATAAGACTGTGATAGACTGTTAAAAATCCTTTGAAACGGAACTTCATCTTGAAATTTTTACGATTAGCAGCAAAATTGAAAGAAAATCCTTTAAGCAAGTCATTTATTGCTTCATCACAAATGTCATAGAGAGTTTCGAGGATCCATTTGAGTTTGATATCATTGAAGTTTTTGGCGTTTAAACATAATGTGCGTAGATCCTTCTTTTCTCATTTGATACCTTTTTTTCAATTGCGATAAGACACTGATTGTATGTCCATCGTGCTGTTCCCATCCATCTTCTGAGTTTTAGCCGCTCTTGCTGATTAGGATAAATACGAATCTGTTGTATCTTGCCTGCTGGAAGTTTTTTCATTTCCTTCTTGGAACTCTTAAATCTCTTGGGTAGCATCTCTTCTCTTTCTGTAATTTGTAGCTGAATGTAATCCATTATATTACGCTACAAACACTGTGATGATTGCAAGGAAGTCTTCTGCAAGTTCTCTAACTTTACTACTTTCAGTACTAATATTCGTACTGAGTATCACGAGCTGAGTCCCATTCTTCTCAAAGAATGCTCAAATCTGAAATGGCACAATCAGTTCTAATAGAAAAGTTAGTAAAATAAAAAAAATAATAAATCAAAGCAAATAAATAATTAAACTTAAACCTTTCGGATAATCACCACTTCTTTGATTCTTTCTGCGTATATTCATTCTAGAAGGGAAATAAACTTTTGCATTTTCAGTTGAGCCTGATATAGCAGATCTTGGCCTTTTGTGCAGGTTGTGTCTGGTTGTTTCTGAAGATTCCTTGTATGTCAGTTAAGACATCATATATCTCTTTAATTTGTATTTGCACTTTGAGGGTCGTTAAAAATGTGGTCTTTGTTTAGTTGACAGTAGTACTGTGTTGCTTAAAACTATATTTGATTTTAAACTTTAAACTTTACATAACTGTATTAATAATTAATAAGCTCAAGTAGGGATGTTAAGGTCTATAGTCAGACCGATCTGACTTTGGTTTGATCATAAAACCAGTTTCAGTTCTATTTGAGAATCAAATCAAACTGAAACTGAACTGAGTCAAACTGGTATTTAGACCAGTTTGGATGATCAATCTATATAAATGTTGTGTCGCATAAATTGTAAGACGCGTTGATCATTATAACTAGAATAATTTTCATTTTGCATTATTGTTTGTATTGTATAATGTCTGATAGTGTAATTTCAAATGAAAATGACAATTATTTCTCAGATATTTCTTCAACTTCTTTGGTAACTGAAGAAGATTTCAATATAATAATTCGCAAATTAGATATATGAGAATTTTTTTTTAAAGTCCAAGATGAAAAAACTAGACTAACAATAAGTTATAAATGCATATTATGTGCTAAAATTTATTTGCCTGGCAATCTAACAACCACCCTTCGAAAATATTTAACTAAAAAATATTTATTTCATTATAAAAAAACTGAAAATCATCAAATTACTTTGAATGAAATGCGTTTTAAACCCTATTCTTTATCACAATCTAACTCTATCACAAATTCATTGATTGATTTTATTGCAACTGATTTATAACCTTTTTCTATTGTTGAAAATACTGAATTTAAATTGTTTGTTAATAAGTTGAATCCTCAATTTATTTTACCATGTAGACAAATTTTAAAAGAAAAATTTGTAAAAAATTATGATACAAAAAGAAATGATTTAATAGGCAAAATTTCACAAATTAATTTAAAAATATCTCTCATAACAGACATATGGACATCAGATCCAAAAGATTGTTATCTTAGAATAATAATTCATTATATTAATAATAATTGAAAATTAAAGAATCTTTTGCTTGATATAATTCCTATAAATAGTTCTCATAGAGCTGAATTAATTACAAACAAACTTTCACAACTTTTTGAAGAATTTAATATTAGTCAGAATATTCTTGCTATGATAACAGATAATGGAAGCAATATGATAGTATGTGGTAATCAATTAGCAACTGAATTAGATCAAAAATTTAATAATATGTCTTTTATTCATTTTCAATGTGCTGCTCACATTATCAACTTGGCAGTAAAAGCTGGAATGAAATATATAGGAGATGAAATTAAAAAACTTCATCAATTTGTTGTTAAATTAAAAAATTCACCACTATTATTGGATAAATTATTAGAAATTTGTACTATTAGAAAGGTTAAATTTCTAAAGCCAATTTTAGATATAGATACGCGTTGGAATTCTACATATTTGATGATTGCTAGACAAACTTTAATGCAGAATGTTTCTGAATTACTTGTAACAACAAATCCTGAAGATCTTGATAATCTTTTTCCAACAATTTCTGAATGGGGTCGTATTAAGGTATTTATTATTTATTATTTTATTATTATAATTAATTAATTATTATTTATTTATTTTATACTTATTATTTATTTTAGGAATTTTACAACCTATGTATGAAGCAACACAATTATTATCATCATCATTAAATCCTACATAAGGTGATATTAGATTGGAATGTTTAAAAAATTGAATCAATATCAAAGAAGAGATCATCATACACAAAAAGAAATAGCATTAGCTATTTACAACAAATTAAAAAAATATTGGGATAATCATTTAAATTATACTTCTACAATTTCTTCGGTATTAGATCTGCATTACAAAATCACATTATTTGAAAATAATGACTTAGCTGGAATTATTAATAATTTACAAGAATTATATAGTACATATTCTCCCTTAAATAATCAAACAAATTCAAAAAAAGTTATCGTCTCAGGATTACTTTCTTAATTTGCTTAATCAAAATAATTATCAAAGAATGACATGTGATAAATTAGATAGATATCTAAATTCTCCAGTAGATAGTAGTGCCAATCCTTTAATTTGGTGGAAAGTTCATGAAAAAGATTATCCTATATTGTCTCAAATAGCTAAGGATTATTTATCGATTCAAGCGACGTCAGTTCCATCAGAAAGAGCCTTTTTAATTTCAAGCTTAGCTATCTCAAAAGTTAGAAACAGGTTAAATCCTGAAACAGCAAAAGCAATTATTTGTATGAAGCATTGGATTTCGGAAAAAGGATTGTAGAAAATATATAAATTTATATTAAAATTGTGGGGATGAATAATAAGGTGAAATTATTTTAGTCAAAAGCTTTGATGAAAATGACATTTCGGTAATAATAGATCGCAAAAAAAAAATTTTTGTATAATTCGACTTTTTTTTCAGTTTATTTGTATTATAATAAAATTTTTGTATTGGGAATTTTGAGTATTGCACAATTTATTAACGTAGTATAGAAAAGGGAGGCTATATTTTTCCTTATTCATAATCTTTCTGTCTTACTACTATCTTATGATAAGCTTTTCTTTTTGGGAATGATCATCCATCTTATTATTTCATTCCCGCAAAGTCTCCAGAAAAAGATCATCAAAACACTTGCAACGTTTATTCTTTTTTAGTCAGATCTACTCCTCTGAATTCGAAAAAAAAATCCCTCTGATTTTCTGTTTCATGTCATAGTTCTACAGTACTTATTACCCATATCAATTAGTTATTAATTACTGGATTATCAATTATATACTCGAATAGAAGGAAGATCGCCCACCCTCCTCCCTAGTGAGCGGAGGTCCTTTATATACATTCCAAGTATATAGATCTGAGAAGCTTCTCCTTATTTTCCTTCCAAACAAAAAAAACCTGATCTCCATCTATCTATATAACTTACTCAAATAATAGATCGATCTTTTTTTCAATCCACTTCACAAAAATAAATTTGAAATAACTTTTAATAAAATAGATTAATTCAAAAAATTAAATTCCTTTATCTTTCTCAAACTTCTTTTAAATTTCTGTATTTACCATTCGACCACTTTTCATTTTTTTTTTACCTTGATTCGAATTCGTTCGATGGGAAAAAAACCTTATCTGTATTACATAAATTTTCAAATTAATTGAATTCTGTGATTATCTACAAAGCCCAATATTTGTTTATTTGCTAAGTCCATCCTATTTATCTACGAAACCCATTTTGTTTATTCCTTTCTATGAAAAACTATATATACACACACCGTCTCCCCTTTTGATATACTGCTTATCTTTTCAAAAATTCTACCGCAAAGTAGAAAAAAAAAATTTTTTTTCTTTTCTTTCAAAATTTGCACCATCCATATGAAAATTCGATGTTGTGATTAAGAAAAAAAAAAAGTTGTATACAATGTATATATACACACATATACATGCACTTTAACTTGTAAAAAAAAAAAAAAAACTTTTCTTCTCTCCAAAAAAATAAAAAGAAAACCAACAAACCCCACAAAAATCATAAAAATCAAAGAATGCTTTTCAAACTAGAAACTATTTGTTACATTTACGAGTGCTCTGAAAGGATGATTAGAGATTACACTTTGAAAGAAATGACTGCAATTACCAAAATAGACGAAGAAGATCCTAAAATAATCGCATACTTAAGAGTAAAAACGTTCATTCCTCTAGACGAGTTAGCCGAACATAATATCCATCCCTTTGAAACTGATGATGTAGTATACCTAAAAGGAAAGTTTATCAGATTTCTGAACTGGTATTAAGTATGCTTTTTTCATATCTTTCATACCATATTTACCCCAAATCGAAAAAAAAAACTCAAAAAAATAAATCATCCCATATTTAAGGTAAATGCCACTGCAATTAAACCAATTGAAAATATAGAATATGACAAAATGTCTGTCACAGGAATCAACGTAATGCTTTCGGGCATCACTACTCGAATCGTCAGGAATGTAAATGAAAAATCTGTAATAGATTTTTATGTAAAAGAGTACCTCAGAGAGAGAGAACCCTGTAATTTACATTTGGAAGTCAAACATATAACTACCTCGCCAACAAAACTTCCTCCATCAATTCCGCAAATAATATTAGATCCACTACAGCCATTCTAGTAGGTAACATACACTATGAAGAACTTACCAAAGATCCTCTCTACTGAAGAGGAACTAATACCAGGAAAACATGTCTTAAAATTAGAGAACATATCCTTGATTCCTGTAACTCAATCCCGCATAAATACTCAACCGTTAAACCTCTCGTAATCTAATAACAGCAGCCCTGAAACCAACGGCAGAATGAGCCACACTTCAAGATCAACCAATACCAGAAAGCCCAAAAAAGGTCGACAAACCTTGTCTCAAATAGAGACCACATCAACAGATCTGACTACAGACCTCACAGCTGCGTTAAACGCAAACCTGCTTCCCCCTAATTTCCCAACAAGCTCATCCGAAAGCAATAATAACACACTTTCAGAAGTTTAACAAAATTAATTAAACATCAAGAAGAAAAATTTCTTCTTATTCAACCATAAAAGAAGACACATACACTCTAACTCAACCAAATATATACTTGAACAATTTTTTACTTTCTTTTTTACTTCTTTTTTTCATTTTTTTTATTATTTTTTTATTCTTACTTTTTTTTTTTTATTTTTTTTTATATATTTTTTATCTCTTAATTCTTTTCTGCGTTTTTTAAGAACATCATGTAACCAATCAAAAAGAAAACTCCTATATGTAAATAAACCTTTCATTACAAAAGATACGATAACAAAATGAATTTTATTAAAATGTTATAATACAAACAATGATACTAAACGAAAACTATATACATAGTAATGTCTAACCAAAAAAAAAAACTAACATTTGCTTTACCATAATCCTGAATCACAATTTTCTCGACGTTTCTAATTAAAAGTAAAAAAAAAAAAGAAATAAATCAATCTATTAAATTAACTAAACCAAAACAAAGAAAATCGCACCAATGATAAATTCTTAACATACCTAAATAATCAAAATAAAAGAGAAAAGTCTAATAAATAAAATTAAAACTTTAAAATTAAAAATTTTTAAACTTTTTTTTTTTTAATTAAACAATAAAAAAATTGGATTAACCGAATACTGCATAACTGACTTTACCTATTTCAGTAATCTTAGCCATTTCAGTCATTCCTACAATCAAAATCATATTTCGGCCATTAAATACAATTAAATTCAGATTTCGGCCATTTTGTCGATTAAAGTCAAACAACCTCGATTTCATGCGTAATTATAAATCAACTAACCCACTATAAAAAAAAAAGTATTTAACTTACCCAATTCCCCACGATCGCATACCTTCGTAATAACACATTCCTCTAATCCTACTGATTCTACTGATCCACTAAAAATCTACTAAAAATCTTCTAAAAAATTGACCGAAACCTCAACTAAAAACATATAACCCAAAATCCCAAAATAAATCTGTCAAACCTCTATCACATTTACCTCTCCTCATCTTAAAAACTTACCCTGAACAAACTATAACCTCACTCCCTACCATGACCCACCATATCAATACCATCTACACTTTCGATAACGAACATGAAACTATATTAGATTGGAGAACCCCTGATCTTCTATCATATAACATGGACATCTCCCATAATATTTCACTAGAAACTCCTTTAAACAATTCACAACCGAACAACACTTACCAACCACCAAGACAACCATTATACTGGAGACTCTCATTGAAATTACAAAAACTATATGACAGATTCCAAAATGATATTCTAGGACAATGGTCTCAAATCGCCTATGTCTATTGTGGAAAGCTCTTATACTCCAAAAAAGCAGAATGGATACTCCACAACTCATCAATCGTCTACCCTATACAACAATACTTTCCTAATATTATCCTATCCTTCAACTTCAACACTGACTGTATCACTGAACTAAAAATTCCCACCTGCAAATCCTGCAAGAAACCCTCTATCAGATTCCTATTTCCTCACCTTTCCCCATGCCACAAGAAATCATATCTATCCCTTTACATAAAAGAAAACATCTATTCCCAGTATATCTATACTGCTTCTTAAGTAGAACCCCTAACAGCAACCCTTACTTCGAATACAGATGTTTAACTAGTATCATGAATTACTCATGTAACGTCAAAGTTCACGCATTATATTCCAGGATCCTAGGCTCATTCTTAGAATCGAATGATCCCAATTATTTCACGAATAACAATAACCCCATCTATGATGAAACCCTATGACGAGCCGCTAATTGGTTATCCCAGAATAACCTTATCTTCACCCTTTGCTGACATACTAACTTTACCTGATAAATACCAACAAATCCTTAACCAACCTTTCCCGAGAGCTACTCATATCCTAACAGATACAAACGCACCTCTTGTGAACCCCTGCGATATAATAGTTTCTAACTACGATTTTTCTGATAAAGTCTACAATGAAAACTTCTATTACACAAGATTGATGACCAGATTTGTTCAAGAAAGTGAAACTCTACGTATACCTATTTCAAACTATGACCCAAACTTAGAACCTCTACTCTTCTCAGACTTATTCACAGATGGAAGAGGTCACTTTCACGACATAATGATCCAATCCACTTCCTTAAATGACGAAATGCGAAAAGAAACTTACGGAAAATACATTAAATAACGCCTGATGAATTACGATCTAAAATGGAGACTTCACCATCATTGACCATATTGGTCATACTTACAATTAGAAAAATTGAGATACCACCAAAATACCTAACGTCTCTTAAAATAAGCCAACCTCAACTCAAATAACATTAACCTCCCTACCGCTAGACAGCTCCTCTAACCTAGCAACTACAACTAACATTACAAAATAAATAAAACTATCACGAACCCCCTCCTGAGTTTTATACGCACAGGTGATACCTACTTTCACCAAAAACAACTACACCTTAACGCAATGATAAAAAACATCGGCCTACCAACATTATTCATCACCCTGAACATGGCTAAAAGTCGTTAGACCCACCTTCACTACATACTCTCTAATACTGATAATAACGATACACTACTCACAAATGGACCCTACCATTGCACAAATTATTTCGTTCACAGGTTCAAATCACTAAAAAAAGAACTATACAAAAAACTGGAACTTACAGGATTTGGTACAATTACTGACTTTTTTAATAGAGTCAAATTTTAAAAAAGAGGCGCAACCCATACACATAGTTGCTACTGGACCACAAACTCTATAAATACAATGATCACAAATGAAGTGATCCGTTCAACACTTCCTGACTCTTATATGAACCTGAACTATACGCAGCTGTAATAGCTAACCAAATACATACATGCAACCAAAAATGCCAAGGTCCAGCATCACCAGGTCAAACCTGCAAAAAAGGTTTCTCTCGTCTATATAGCGAAATAACTCATTATGAAGAAGGAAACTATTGATACGTATATAAATGTCTAACTGAAGCAGACTTTTGGGTAGTCTTATACCACCCTGCTATTCTTCTATTATGAGACGCTCACATGAACGTCCAATACATAACAGACAGAGGCTTTGCGCAATACATGATAAAATACGTCGTAAAAAGAGAACCTTCCCATATCTTCAATATTCAAGATGGCGACACATTAAGAAAACACGTTATCGCAAGAAGAATCAGTTCAATAGAATTGATGTTCTTACACCAAATTTGCAGTTCCTCTGCCACAGTAAAATTTCTCACAACTGAACTCCAAATACTAGAACTCACACAATTCTTTTCACTTATATGATAGATGAAGACAATCAACACCCATATTATGATGACATAATTATAAAATATATGCTCAACCCCATTTCTCTCAATTTGAAAATCTCACCTACCCACAATATTTCGAAAGATACACAATCACTTTCTCAAGACTCACAACCTCCCAAGAAATATTCCACGACGACCTTAACAATTATGTTATAAAACGCTCAAAACAAATAATTACCAGATATCGCTTTCTTAAACTCGAAGACGCTGAACTATACTTCTACCAAAAATTACTCTTAACCGTTCCTGCAAGAAACGAATCTGACTATAAAAACAGACCAAATGGAACCTATTGCAAAAAATTTTTATCATTATTTTCCGATTTCCTAACCAACCTACAAAATCAAATTGCAAATACACACCAATCACGTATCATATGTCTAAATAACCAATTTGCTGAAATCTTAGATAGACTATTACATACATTATGCGAAGAGATCCCTGCCAACATTCACAATATAATACGATTACAATTAGAAAGCATTAAGACATTCCCTCACATATTTTCAGAAACTACAATACTTGGATTACTAGAAGACCAATATTACGCCTTATCAATCATTACTTTATATATGGGCAAAAATGATGATATAAAATGGTCATACTACTTCATTACTGGCTCAGCAGGAACTGAAAAATCTTACGTTATTAATCTAATAATAAATACCCTTAAAAATAACAAATCAAATTACCTTTTACTAGCACCAACTGGAATCGCCGCCCAAAATATAGGAGGGAAGACTATCTATTCCACATTACAAATTACATCCACCTAAGGAAATCTTCATACACGAGCCTACGCAAACAAAGAACTAAGTGATTTCCTAAAAAAAATCGATACTATAATTATAGACGAAATATCAATGGTATCTGATGAACTTCTCGATTTCATATCAAATATATTCGCAACCCTTAAAAATAATGCTATCGCATTTAGAGACATAAATGTTATAATCGTTGGCAATCTTACACAATTACCCTATTAATGCTTAACCAGTATTTTGTGCAACTACTTGGACCCTATTTTACCCCTTATTTTTAAGTACATCACAACGCCAATAAGCTGATAGCAGATTTTACTAAATGTTACAAGAAGTCTGAACAGGCAACATTACACCTGAAACATAGCGAATCCTTAAACAAAAACATTCAGAATTCCTAATACGTCCTGCAACCGACACCTTTCTCAACACCACTAACATCGTAGGTTTTAGAAAAACTGTCTAACAGATTAACAGAATGGTCTATAATATGCTTCCTGTACCTGATGGAAAATTCCTAATTTCCCAATCTACTGATGTTATAGATTCTGCACAATGGAACCCTTCTTCCGAATGTATTTTTAAGAACAAAACCAACCTACCTTTCTCTGTTAGATTACAACCAGACGCACGTGTCATATACCTTAACAACTCACTAATTGAACAAGGAATATACAATGGCACTATAGGAATTATCACCGATATTGACCTTACAAACCAATCTGTTCGCGTTGCATTTTCAATCAGAGGTTCTATCATCGACACAACTATCTACAAACAAACCCACTATTTTGAATTATATGGAACCAATTATCATCATATACAATTCCCACTCCAAAATACCTTTGCTCTTACCGTTCACAAAACCCAAGGCCTGACCCTATCAAAAGTATCTCTTGCATTAGATGAAAACATTTTCTCCCCTGGACAAGCCTACGTTGCCCTCAGTAGATGTCCCACCTGGGACAACGTCGAAATATCTCATCTTGATTGCTTAGCATTTATGACAGACCAAAACATGCTCTTAGAATATGAAAGATTAAATAACATATTGATGTCCAGAACTAACCCTCATAATCGTTAAGATCCTAAAATTTTTAGAAAAAAAAACCCGTCCCCCTTACAACAATATATAAATAACAATAAAAAAAAAATCTTTTAATCCAATTTTAACTTTTAAATAAATAATTTATTAAATTTCCGATCCTTAAACAAATACGGTAATAAACCGAAGATCGTAACTTTGACCAATACCATGACTAGGAAAAAGATGCAGGTGGTTATTGGAAGAAAAAAAAAACTGGCTAGTTTTTATATATAAACTCCGGTCTAAATTTCGGTCTAGACTCCAGTTTCAAATCGGTCTACAAACCGATCCAGTTCGATTTTACCCTCAAACCGATAAAAATCGGACCGAAACCGAACTGGTCGAACCGTTAACATCCCTAAGCTCAAGTAATACGAAAATGTGGTTTATTCCAGAATGTTCGAAATCACGGCAACGGTAAAAATAAAAATACCGATATGGTTTTACTGCGTCAATTTTTAATTTTTTTTTTTTTTTTAAAAAAAAAAAGAACCATGGATTTTGAAGGAGAACCTATAAAGCTAACCATAAATTCAGAATATGCTAAAACATATGAGGTGAGAAAAAGAGGTGAAGAACTTTCAAAACGTAAGTGAAATTTATAATTTACTATCATTGTCCTTGTAACTATTTTTAATTGTAGTTTGAACTGACCACTATAGAACTTCGGTATTCAACATGTTAAATAGTCAAAGAAAAGTATGGTGATATAAGCGATGAAGATACTGATAGTTCTTCAACTTCTGAAGAAGAGGACGAATTTGGTGAATTAGTTACTCCTGAAGTAGACGCACAAATAATGAAAACGATTGTCGCGATAAAGTCAAAAGATCCTAAAGTTTACGATTCTCAGTCAAATTTCTTTGCAGGTAGAAAAATATTTTCAATATTGGGATTAATCTTGATTTATGTTATTGGTTACATCTGAAAAATTTTTTATTCAAATAGACGAAGAGATACAAAAAGCTCATCAACAATGGTTGGATAAACAACAAAAGAAAAAGGTTAACGAAATTTTTATCCAAGTCAGAATTTGTTTTATCAAATTGGGTCCTAATTCTTTTACTATTATTATAGTCAGAGGCAAAGCCTATGCATTTAAAAGATTATCATCGTAAAATATTATTGGAAAATGGTGGTATAATAGGTGATCAAGATAATTCTAAAGTCAATAATAAAAATATTGGGCTAACCCCTGTACAAGAAGAGCAAAAGTTAAGAGAAGAATTTAAAATTGCTGCCTCTCAATTCGATTTCCACGATGATGATGATGACGATGATGACTTTTTGGTTCAACGGCCAAAAACAGCTGAAGAATTAAAAGCAGAAGAGGAAGATTATCAAAATTTCTTATTAGAAAATATGGCAGATACCAAGGATGTCGAAATTCTTAAACAATGGCAGAACTATAAGAACGATCCAAACATAAATGAGGACGAAGCCTTTTTGATGGAGTGAGTTATTTAATTCTTAAATAACAGTTCATTTGATTTTTAACTATACATATTAAACCTTTAGTTTACTTGTAGTTTTATCCTTAAACGAGGTTGGATTGATAAAGATTCTGATAAAGTTCCGTCATATGATGAACTTATTGCAGAACACCACGATGAGGAAGATGAGAAATTCGAAGAAGCCGTCGATCAATTCGAGAGCAAGTATAATTTCCGCTTTGAAGAAGAGTAAGTAATTAAAATGATATTATTTAATGTCAAAAGAGCTTGCATTTAAATTCTATATATATATTGTAGGGGAAGTACTAAGGTAGTTACATATGCTCGTAATCTTGAAGGATCGATGCGAAGGTTCGTAATTATCGTTGCTTCTAGTCTTAATAAATGCACAACATATTATACAAAATTAATCTTCTCTATCTAATAAAGAACCGATAATAAACGTAAACTTCAACGTCAAGCGCGTTCCGAAAGAAAAGAGGAGGAGAAAAAGCGTAAAATAGAAGAATTAAAGAGACTCAAAAATCTCAAGAAAAAAGAGATTTTTGAAAAATTACAGAAAATTAAAGAAATAACAGGCAATGATAGTAGGTATCATATAGAGTTAATTTTAATATTATTATTACTTTTTATTTAACAAATTTTAATATCTCATTTAGCTGTTGGTTTTGACGACGTTGACCTTGAAGAAGATTTCGATCCTGATAAATATGACAAAAAAATGAATAAAGTTTTTGATGACGATTATTATGCAGAGGTAAACTTATTATACTAATATTTATAACAGCAATCAATTTAGCCAATTTGATGGTTTGTATATTTATATAATTTTTTTTTTTTTAAAAAAAAAAAATATATTAAGGCTGATAACGAAAAGCCAGAGTGGAGTGATAATATCAATGTAGACGATATTGTATGTAACAACAGTCAAAATATTGATTCTATAATAAATGCTTTTAAAGAATATAATGATGATCAAGAACTTGATGAAGGTGGTATTGGAGATGATGATTTTATAATGGATGCAGATTATTTACCCGGAGGAGAAAAATATGATGAAACTAAATCCAAGAAAAGTAAGCGTACTTGTGATATTTTATCTCGCTTATGATTAAATTATTATATAAAAAAAATTAAAAAATGTTATCTAGAGAGATCGGATAAAAGAAAAGAAGCGATCGAAGAAAAAAAGAAAGCCAAGAAGAAATTTGATGAATATTTGGATGAATATTATCAATTAGATTATGAAGACATAGTAAGTAGTTATTTGCTTAACAAAATAAATATTAATGATAAACTATTAAAAAATAATTTACTTTTATTTTTATTAACAGATTGGTGATACACCTGTAAGATTCAAGTATAGGCAAAATAAACCTGTTTCATTCGGTTTAACACCTGCTGAAATATTATTAGCGGATGAAAAAGATTTAAATGAATTTGTATCATTAAAAAAATTGGCACCGTAAGTTAATATCTAGAATTTATTATAATTTTTTTATTATTATTAAACTAACGAATTTATCTTCTAGATATCGGCCCGAACATGTTATAGAGAATGATTTAAAAAAATATTCTAAAAAGAAAAGATTAAGACAATTTCGTAAAAAATTAGAACTTTCGGAAGAACAAAATCCACCAGAAAATAATTCCTGGAGTATAAAATCAATTAAACGTAAAATTAATGAACAAAAAGAAAGAGGAAAAAAATCAGATGAAAAAAATAATAAAAAAGTCAAAAATGCATGATAATAATATAAAAGGAATGAATGTTTCGACGATATCATGTTGTGAACTTTATTAATTTAATTATTTTTGTTTTTTAATAAATTTTTCTACAAAGTATCATTTTTTATCCAGTAAACACATTATATTCTCTAGAATAGATATTTATAATTTTTTGAAGCAAGCATAATATTATGTTTATTATTATTTATTATTGCAAAATTCACATGGATTGATAAGTCGCAATTTTAGGATACGGGACATAATTAGAATGCTATTCATTCAATGAAAAAAAAAAAAATAGACAGGCGCTGTTGCATTTTGTCTTGTAAAGGATAAGTGTGTACGGCCAGTACAATCGTGTGTATTCTTCTCGTTAACGAGAGAATACACAAGATTGTACTGGCCGTACACACACAACTAACGATGGGATATCATCACGTAGTTAAATACATTACGCGTAATGACGAATATGAATTGCTAATTAATAAATAGATCTAAAATACAAGCAGCATGAAATAATGATCAATGCAGGATGCGTTGAGAATTTATTGTATGCATCAATAAAAGCTGATCGAAAAATATCCTCCGGGTTAAAGTTAATTTGTGTGATGAGAAAGTGTTTCCTTCCAAATACCGTAAAATCTCGAATCTTTAGCACCACTGAATTTAAGCACCCCCATCACTTTTGATATGCACTTGATCTGAATCATGGTATCTCTACATCTACATCATCAATCAATCATTTGGTTCCTTCAGTTTTATTGTTTTATTTCCAAAAATTGAAAATAAACACATGCGTATTCTCCCTTCCAAATTTATAAATTGATCAACTAGTTAAAGTGTCAAGATTCCAGATGATATGTTGATTATCCATTAAAAACCATATTTTTTATCAACAGGCTTTTCTAAAATTGCAATTGCAAGTACTGGAGTTATCTTGCAAAATTATCAAAATCATATTTGTTCCTTCAGTTTTGACTCATCGCTTCTACCAAATCAAACTGTTTTTGGATTTGGATTACTACGAAATATTTTTGTTTCGTCGTTTCGCCAATGTTAAAGTTCTTTTTTTTTTTTTTTTTTTTTTTTGAAATATTGCAATTTAAAATGTTATCAAAAAATTTAATTTAATATCATTTATCAAGTTAACTTAATAAACATGACCACAAAAAAAAAAATTTTTTTTTTTTTTGCAATAATTGACGCGTATATACATGATTCTTTTAAGCTCAACCCGCAAGCTTTTAAATTGATAAATTTAAAATAATTGATTCTAAAACTTTATATTGATATGAATATTTGACTATAAAAAAATCTTTAAAATGTATTTCATGTCATTATAAGATATTATCAACAACAAAAAATAACATATTGTTCCAGGTGAATACAGACCAATTATGTAAACTCCTGAACAATTCTACAATTTTGCTATGATCTCCTTGTCGAAAAGTGATTGTCCAGGTGCGAAGGAATATTGATCTTCCGGAGCAAAAGAAGCGCCAATTCCTCCGACTAATTTTTTACGTTGGTCAAGAAGTGACTCAACTTCAGAAATGGATGGCGTCGGCTTCTTGTTTTTCTTTGTCTTTGTAATTTTCGACTTATCCTTGTCGAGCTAAAAAAAAATAAATAAAATAAAATAAAATAGGTTAAAAATTGTTTTATAATTAAATAAGATTAAAAGAGAAATGCGAGAAGTACTCACGAATCTGGCCAAATAAGCATCTTCGATTTGATTATCAAGAGTTTCCAAATATGATTGGTATTGTTGCCAACCTATTTGAGCTTTTACTCTTTCGATCAAAATCTGCTTACGATAATTGTTCCGCTTGCTTTGTTCGCGAAGCTTTGCTTGCAATTCCCGCAATTTGATGCTTATTTCATCATCTTCGCGTTCGTCCCATTGTATCTATAAATAACATTAGATTTGTAATCATATGAAATAAATTTATAAAAGACTTTACATTAGTTAATTAGTATTACTAACGTCGTTTCCATCCATCAAGTCCAATGCTTGAAGTTCTCTCTTAAGTCGATCGTCCATTTGGGATTTATCTCGATCATGTTCAACCTCTCTTTCATGATGCCCATTCTGGCCATTTTGACCATTTACTTGTGACTCATCAAGTTGATTTAGGAAAGTTGCAGCTTCTGGATATTCAAGAAAGGCCGCTAGTAAACGATCGACTATGAAATTAGCAGATCGTTGTTTATAGTCACCATCATGGGACTTTAGAGGACCATCAATATCCATGTGATCGATTCGGCGTGGCTCTAGTTCATCCGGTGTTTGAGGAAGAAGATTACGTTCTTCTTCTGCCCAAACTTCCAAGTAGCGCTTTCCAAGTTTCGGAATTTCGTATGGCGCGATATCGTCTCCCTTTAATGTAAAAAAAAAAAAATATTTATAAATATTATTAGCATTTATAAAACAAATTTAAAACTATTTACCTTTGATTCTAAAAATTGTATGTCTTCATCCTTGAAATCCCTAACATAAGGCTCGACATAGTCATAAAATGTTTTGATCGCCACTTGGTCCTTTGATTTAACAACGGGCGTATCCTCAATTGTAGCATTTGTAACTTCCGAAGTGCTACGCTTTCTCTTTTTAAAAGAACCTGTATTTCCTGACTTCTATATAAGAGATTTGAATATTAGAATATTAACATTTTGTAGAGAAATTAATAATTATTAATTACAAAATAACAACCGAGGTTTTATTTTGAACAGAACGATTTGGCGTCGAAGTTCGTGATCCTTTTACTATTCCTTCGAAGTCTGAAGAATCGCACTCATCATCACTCGGTGCGCTTCTCTTTAATATCTTTTTTTTCCTGTGAGTTCCACTGTGATTTTATAATTTAAACATCGGGGTAAATAAGGATCACATAATTAGGCTATTTTCACATCATACATAATATTACTTACGAGCTGGTCTTTAAAGATTCTTTCCTTTGAGGTGGAAAATAATCATTATCTGTATGGGTTAATTATCAAAATCGAATAGTCATAAGATCACTACCTATCATATATAAGGTTTAGAACAATTTAACATATAATTATTAATAAATTTACCTGAATCTTCGACCTTTATTTTCATGCTAGCTCCTTTTTTCTTGGACCCTTTCTCTTTGGCATTTTTATGAACATTAGGACTTCCTATTCGATGGTGTACATATGGACTTCCTACTCGATGATTAGCAGGACTTGAACTTCTTTTTACAATCTTTAAACCGCCATGAATCACACTTCCACCCAAACCACTTGTACTACTTGTTGCACTACTACGTTCAATGTTCGCAGCATCTAAAATTTCTAGACATTTTTCAAAATCTTCTTTTCTGCTTATTGCGGCTTTTCCTATAGCTTTTAATTCTCTTTTGACACTCTATAAATCAGAATTATCAACTCTAGTATTAGTAGATATTCCAAAATATACATTGAAGGAGACGAAGAAGAGGAATAATTTGATACCAATTGGTCTTTATTAAATAATTTTTTTAGACCTCGTTTTTTAATTGGGCTGATAGTAGGAAATTTTTTTGGATCGATAATCATGGTCGTAGTTATATTATGAAGTTGTGGATCCGATTGTTAGGAAAAAAAAAAAAAAAAAAAAAAATTAAAAAAAAAAAACTTGATCCAGAAATTCAATTGAAAAATATCATTAAAATATCGAAAGAAAATATCAAAGACGAACAATCTCAACTTTTGTAAGATTTTCAACCAATCATTGACGATTATTTTCCCCTGCCAAGTATGAACCTATTATATTAAAAATCGACCATATAAATGTCACATAATATGGGGTGAGACAAAAATTTTTTTAATCAGATGATCCCATATCTACTGTACGGAAAATTTATATAAATTCTCCCAAATAATTTCATTCCCACAAAAAAAAAAAAAAAAAAAAAAAATGGGCTTGAAAAATGGATTCAGTAATATATTATATACAAGTTCAATAATATTTCTCATGCTTTTGACTATTGTAGCTATTGGTATATCTGCATTCGATATTATTACTCGGGCTTTACTCGTAGACCCTGGGAAAATGACTGTTATTATTGCAGGAGGCAGTTACTTTTTAATGGTAAAGGGGGTTCAACAAAATATTATTTCCTTACAACTCAAAGAGGTTTTTGTTTATTTTCATTAAAATATCCCTTTTGATAGGGTTTTATTGCAGTAATTTTGGGGTTTAGTCGATTATATACTGTAAAACGAGCTTTAAGCGATATACCAAAGTCTCAAGTGCCAATAAACGAAAAAGATATACCAAAGGTATGATCGATTATATTTATTAACGTATCAATGAAATAAATATATATTAAATTGCTTGGCATCGTTTTCCTCTAGTCTGTCCATAATCTTATTGTTTCAGAGCTAACTCGCGTTTCCAGGATTGCTTTGGCAGGAGAACCAAGGCCTGAAGATGGAGGGCGACCAGGATGGGGAAGACCAGGTACTATGTATTATGTCTTTTTTTTATATGGATATTCAATTATACTACATTTCAAAAATTTAATCGCTTGAACGTTATTTATCAAGGTTCATCGTACAATAATATACACTTCAGATCTTCAATCATTGAAACGCTCTCCTTAATAGGTAAGATCAAGTTTGTGATTGATCCTTTTTTTTTATATTTTATTATTAATCTATTATTAAAAATACGATTTAAATTTATTTAAAAGAGCAACAGGCTGTAAGGTGTTCGTTAAACTTGGCACGTCAGCCATCAATGTCCGTTCAGCGATATATTGACTTTTTGATAGAACATAAAATAGATCGTGAATTAGGACATGCATATGTTGAAGGCTATGAACGAGCGCGTTTCAGTGATGATGAGGTCCCTGAAGAACAATACATCAAATTTATGAAGCTCGTTTTGCAGTTGTTACGTCAACTGGGTTTCAATGGAAATTAACTTTCCTTTATTTCATCATTTAATATTTTTTTTTTTCCTTTTTCATTATCCTTATTTATTGTCCTATGTGCTATATATTTTGTTTGACCTGAACGAAAAGCTCGTGTAAAGGGAAAACATACGGACAACGGATTTATTCCGATGTCACTTTAACCCTTGGGAAGGTCTGAGAAAAACTATAAAAGCCTCTAGCTGAGATACTCATGAGAATGAGTGCGAATAACCAGAAACGGTACCCTCCTTGGTTTCTAAATATGAAGTCTTATGATCGATTGTTTATCAATGGAGTGTTGGAACGCGGTTCGCTTGTGGAAGTTCTATGAAGTGCGATACACGAGACATCACAATGTGATGTAACTCAATTCAGACTACTCTTTCGTTCGGGTCACATGATATGTCTATTATTTTTCCCTATTTTCTTGATCATTTTCTTTTTAGACTATCATCTTTATTATCATTATAAATTTCTTCCTTTTTGATTGACCTGAACGGAAAGCTCGCGTTAGGGGTAAACTTACGGACAATGGAATTTATTCCATCGGTCATTTTTTAATAACCCTTGGGAAGGTCTGAGAAAAACTGACAAGTCTTTAGCTGGGACACTCATGAGAGTGGGTCATGAATAACCAGAAATAGTATCCTCTTTGATTCAGAATGTGATGTCGTTTTGACAGATTCGATTGAGTCAATAGTAGGAGTTAAACACGATTCATTAGTGGAAGTTCTATGAAGTGCGATACGCGAGACATTACAACTGTGATGCAACTCAATTCAGACTATTCTTCCGTTCGGGTCAGCCTTTTTAATTTTTCATTCATTTATTTTGGGGAAAAAAAAAAAAAAATGATGATTTGAACTACAAAAATTTTTTTAAAAATTTTGATTTTATTCTGATTTTTTTTTTTTCAATACTAAAATTTAATTTATTTCATTTAATGTATTCGAGTTAAATAATTCCCAAAGGAAAATAAATAAAATAAAAAGATTTATTATTATAAAATTATATAGAATTTACGTTTGTAATAATAGGAAAATATGTAAATTCAAAAAAATAAAAACATTATTAATACATTTCTACAAAGCGTTTCTTCTAAACAAGTTACCCAGAATAAATAAATATAAATGATTTCATTGAAAATAAAAAAAAATGTGTGTAATACATAAATAAATAAATATAAATATATATATTTATATTTTTATATTTTCCATGTAAATATAAATCTAATTATTATTATTATTATTATTATTATTATTATTATTAACATTATTATTATTATCTTGAGCTTGTGCCAACCGCGCTTCCAAATTTCTTAAGGCTTCTTCTTTGGCCAAAAGTTCTTGTCTCTTTTCAGTAATTTCACGTTGTACTTTCAATTCAATTTCTCTCAGCTAAAAAATTAAAACAAAGATTTAAGTTAATTGATACTATAAAAATATTTTCTTTTTAAAAAAAAGAAATTTTACCTTCTCTTCTTCACGTTTCAATTGTTCTTCCTTCAAACGTACACTTTGCGTAGCAAGATCATCTGGTAAGATATTAGAATCCCTACAAAATAGAAAACAAAAAAATTTTTGTTAGTTGAATTCAAAGATGATAATTTTATTTTATTTTTTATTTTTTAAATGATACTTACTCGACAGGGACATCAGCACTTCTGCTAAGTTTCTCAGTACGGTAGTTTTCATATAAAAAGTCATGAGTAATCTCTTTCAAGTCTTGTAAATGAGAGCTAATAACAACAATAATAATATTTAAAAATAATAAATTACAATAAAAATTGTTTAAATTCCAAACACGTTGGTATTAATATTGAATTACATGAAACAAAAAATTTTTACCTTAATAGAGCTGATCGCAATCTTGCAAAATCCGAATGTTGTGGGTTATCAACTATCATAAAGTATTTAAATATTATTTTAATTGATGGATATAATGTCGAATTGAAAAAAAAAAAAAAATTAATTAATTAATAATTAAACATACCTTCAACGACACCCCACGGGTACTGGCGACCGCGTACAGCCCTTCCGTTTACCATAATTTCCTCCTCACTTCCAATGATGGCAAAAGGTAAAAGCGCCTAAAATGATTATAATCTAGTGAATAATGACGAATCTCATGAATAAAATTAACGATTAAACCTAAGATTCTATATACTCGTAATTCACTATTTTCTTCAACAGTTTCTTCGTCGTCTTCTTCTACATCAAATGGGAAATTATAAATTGGGATATTATAATGATCGATATCCTCCATTATCTGAAAATTGACAAGCATTTAAGTCAATATGACGCGAAAAAGGAACACGAAATTCATCTTTGTTAAATTCGATACACACTCTCTTTTTGAATTGAATCAATTCTGTCGGTGTACAGGTATCAGCCTTTCCAATGACAGGAATCACATTGACACGTGGACTAAGTCGCTTCATCAATTCAATATCAATCTCACGAAGGCTAAATTAATAATAAACCATATAATTAAAACAAATCATTATTTTAAAAAAAGAAATCCCATAACCATAATTAATTTACGTACGAATGACCTGTTGGGGTAATGAAGTAAAGAAGGGCGTGAACCCGATTGTCTCTGAATCTTGGATTACGTTTAATCCGTGATTCCTCAGCCAAGATATCATCATATTGCCTTTCAAGATATCCCATAATTTCTTGAAAACTTTATTGAGGATTAAATATTAATATCTTTTTTCGTGACCTTTTTAATATAACGACAAAAAGAAACATACCAAAATTCATTGTCAATATTGTCTCCAAATCCGGGAGTATCTACAATTGTTAAGGCAATTCTAACTCCATCCTCTTCCAACTCTACCAAAAAAAAAAAAAAAAAAAAAAAAAATTGAATAAGCTAAAAAAATAAAATGTACTTGGAAACTTTAAAATATTATAAATATCTTACCAACTGTGACAGGTTTGATGCGGATGCCTTCTTCTGTATGTGCAGTATCCGGGTTATCGCATAATTTTTTGGATAAAACTTCACTACCACATAGAGTGTTGACAAAAGTAGTACGGCCGGTACCTGAAGTGCCTATTTTCAAAAGTTTATATATATAAAAAACAGGTAATACATGTTATTGTAATAACGTTTATATTTTGTTTAGACAAATCACAAAATTCAAAACAATAAAGTATTGGTAGGCTGCCATCTGCCCAAGTTGCAGTCATGCAGAGGGGTCAAAAAAAGGGGAGAGGGAGAGTATGCTTTATGCAAGGAGAGAACTTTTAAAAGCTGTTGTGGAAGGTACTTACCGACAACCATAAGAGTGAATTGAAATCCCTTTTTAACATTTTTTCTACGGCCACCCAATCTCTATTAAAAGAAAAAGAATTAGAATTATCAATTAAAGAAAAAAAAAATTAAATTCAAAAGTTTTAGGGCGACTCACATGTGTCATGATTAAACTTAATTAAATAGTATAATGAAGTGTATTTATTGTAAGAGAACAGGCCTTTAAAAAAAAAAGGAATGAATGCGTTCTACAATGCGTATTGAATGATAAGGAACGACCCAGTTCAATGAATGAAGTATTTGAATTGGTTGGTAAATGGTATAACAAATATTTGCAAGGAAGCAGGCAGCAGCAAAAAAAAAAGCAATCTCGACATGCGCATAAAAAATTTAATTTTGTTTATGGTCACACACAGCAACTAGAATAGTACAGGTTAGAACCTATCAAATGGGGACTCTTTATTAGCGAAAGAAAAAATCCGAAAATTTGCTGTGTACTAAAATTCGTATTTATTTTGACGATTTTGCTTATCTTTTCCTTAGTTTGGTTATTAGTCTTTGATGGCTTTTTACTGTCGAAATGCGACATTTACCTCTGGCCATTACTATTAATAAAAGTTTAAATTAAATTCTGCTCAGAAGAAAAAAATACTGATTATAGAACAGTTGTGTAAAATTTGAGGTGTTTTTATTATGTAATGTAACGCGAGTTTTATATGTCGATCACTATAAGTTAAAATTGTAATACCTTAATCAGCCAATAAAATAGATTTTTAACCATGCTCCTATAAATGACGCGTAAATAAAGTATAAAAAATATATTTATACTCTTCAAATTCCAAAAAAAATTTTTCTTCAATTCTTCGTTCTAAATCATGGATAAGAAAGGTATATATATGGGTTGATCGCTAGGAAAATCAGGTTCCGGGAATTTTTTAGCGAAATTGAGATTTTTATTGCATTTTAGTTTTTGATGTTATTAGATTAAAATGTATTAAGCTCTTAATTTTAGTCAAAAATTTCTCGGAACCTGATTTTCCTAGAAACACTCCCATATGGTATACTAATTGGTTTAAATAAATCACTTCATCACCGTCTACCTCCTAACACATAAGAAAGCAGTACTTCTAGTCTTCCCGCCTCCTAACTCATGGGAGTGCAGTACTACTAGTGATCTAGTCTTCTATCCGCCTCCTAACTTAAGGATATGTCGGGAACTATAAAAAACGTCAGCAACGGAGATCTCGAAGTTTGGTTAAGAAAGATTGTTTCACCGTCTATATGTTTTGAACACATAGTTAAAAGAGATCCGAACATGTGGGGTCATGTCCATTTCAGAACTCACGAAAATGCATCAGAATTTTATTTATACCATGGAAGGGGAAACATTTTCTGGGAAATTAAAGGATTCTGCCCAGTTTGAAGTTCGATTTTCTAAAGCAACATATTATAAGTCCGGAATGATCAAGGAGAAGTAATCTCACCGCTTTTATGGTACATTTATTATGACCCCTTACTGTGCAAAATCAATAACTCACAACACGGTTACAATATGAAAGTTGAATGGAGACCAGACGCTCGCGTCCCTACTACAAACGTCTCGCAAATTAAAATACCTACATAGATTGTTATTGAGACGGTAAGTTTTCAAAACTAGAGTTGAGTCTTGAGATTTATTTATTTCGCATTAATTTTCTTTGATCAGGATACTGATTATCAGGAATATCAGCCGTATGCATTATTTGATTTACACGAAAATTGTCAAGGGTCTGTAGTCTGCACTGGTTTATGTTATTGCATGCAGTGTTGGCAAATGACCTTGAAGTGACCTTAAAATGACCTAATCATGTGATGATTTTACTATGAAATCTATCACGCGATCATATACAAAGTGACCTAGGTCACTTCAAAAAAAGGGAAAGGACCTTGAAATTTGCCAACACTGATTGCATGCGCATAAACTAATTTTTCTTGATAGTTTTTACGTGGTAAAGTTTCATACCCCAGGGGTAAATCACAAAGAGCAAGTGGAAATCAATGTCAATGACGACAATAAATCTATTACCATTATAGTTAAAAAATAAAGTTTCTTGCTTTGCAACGTTGTACAAAATAAAACGATATTTATTGCAATTTGCACAAAAGTCTAGATAAAGCAAATACCAGCGTGAATTTTTGCGTGCGGTTGAGGATTTGAAGAGAAATGAGACTCCATTTTATAATAACTTTCTGTATATTTTTTATTGGTTTACTGTATTTAATTGGATTTAAAGGCCATTTCTTTTATATTTATTATTCGTTTTAGGACAAGCCTTATACTTTACTCCTTTAAATTATAAGATTGTGATTATTGTTTCTATTCCGAAATAAAAATCAAATTTTTTTTTTTAGTTTGAGAATTTAATAATTGTGATTGGTCACCAAAAAGATTTAGCAATTCGATTCAATTATTATGGGTTCATCAAAACTTCCAATTTAGTTTTTTCAATCTACTATTTTCGTAACTTAATGATAGGGTCTTAGTTCATCACAACACAACTATTTTGACACGTGATTGTACTAAAAATTAGACTTGATAACCCCCTACTCATCCTACTACAAAACGTATTTGGAATTGAAAATTATTGAAATTGAAATATGTATGTTTATAAAGCGAAAGATTAAATAATTTTATTATTTTTTTTTAAAAAAAAAAAAAGGTTACAAAAAAAAATATATTTAAATATAATATACAACCGTTTTCAATTATTGCAAGCCTTTAATAAATAAATAATGTATATATAAATACTTCTACCAAGAAAAAAGAAAAAAAAAAAAAAATTGAAATTATATAGTTTTATCAAGATCCCAATTTCCAAATACTAATTTTGGTTTGTCCCATTCGCGAACAGAAACTATAGTTTTGTGATTGTTATCATTTTTCCGACGTTTTTTTATATTAGTCTCGACATCTTCATTTGAATCAGAAGTTTCATCGTCGGAATCTCGTCTTCGCTTTTTCTTGGATTTACTAGACTTATGTTTTTTCTTTTTATGTTTAGATTTCTCCTTATGTTTTTTCTTTTTTTTCTTAGTATCATCAACAGATTTTTCGGATTTTTCAGCAAACATTTGTTCAAATCTATCAAAATTATACCAACCAGGTTCTCCAATAAATGGTTCAACATCAAACATCGGATCATAATCCTTCCTAAAATATTTATCCATTTTTGACCCATTACTAACTTCACCACGCCCTTTTTTTCTAACAACGTTAGTTTCTGATGTAGGTTTATTCTTTGAATCTGTTGATAAATTTACTCTTTCCTCTCGCGATGAGATAAACCTTGAATTATAATTATCTTTACCTAATACAGATGATGTCTTATGAAGGTATGAGGAAGATGATGATGAACCTGGACTAACAGAACGTCGACTAGATTTTTCTCTCGTAGACGACGATTTTCTATTATCATAACTTGGGCTTCGGGAATAATATCTCCTTCTACGACTTAACCTTCGACCTCTTTCGCTAATAAATACATATAAAAAAATATATATTGTTAAATATTATCATTAATACAGATAAATAGAAACAAAGAAATAAAAAATTTGTTTTAAGCATTAATTCGTTACCTGGATGATGAATCCGAATCCGAATCCGAATCAATATTATCGCTATAATATCTATCACTTGATAACTTTCTAGTTCTAGAATTTCTACTATAAGAATCGCGTTGACGTGATGAAACTTTTCGTCTTAAAGCAATCCTACGAGCGGCAGCTTCCTCTTCTATCTTCCTAAGTAAAGCCTGATTATGATAATCCACATTTTTCACCACATTAATTAAAAACCTTTTATTAGTCTTTGGAAGGTTACATGGTTGACTGCTATGAACAATATATATGTGTAAAAAGTTAACATTACACCTTCTTAAAACAAAGTTAAGGCAAGCTCGCAAGTACTTACGTCCCGGTATGTGGCAAATATGCTCTGATACCCTCTTTATTATACATCTTATTCTTTACGGAAGCTTCTTTTAAAACCAGGTCAGCAATATACTTGTCTAGATCCTCATCGGGTAGCGTAGGGGGTACGCTACCACCTACTGAAGCTCGGACAAGCTGATTAACTGCAACGTCTAATGCAGATTTTTGTTCAGGTAATTTACTTTTTGGAGGTGTTTGTGACATCGCTTTCAAAAAAAACGTAAATAGGTTGGATAAATTTATTGATTTTATTGGATTAGATTTTAACACAAATGGAGTAAACAAAACCTATTATAGTCATATTTAAGTCATTATTTTTATTAACGTTGAAAATTATAAAATTTATTCATTTATTCATTTATTCGAAACACGAATCATCATTTTTTTTTTTTTATTTTTAAAAAAAATTTTATTTGCTTTTCAAAAAAAAAAATACGCAACAGAAAAAAAAAAAAAGAGAATCTATCTACAAGAAGCAACTTTAAAATTACCAACTAAAAAAAAAAAAGCAATGAAATGAAAATTTTATATACAAGGCGCACTACAAAATTCTCAAATCAACCCTCATAAAAAAAAAATTATTTTAAAATTATTTTAACGCAAATGGGCGCAAGTGAATCACTTTCAAACGGAAGGATCCAATAAAAAGAATAATCATAAAATCATAAAAAATAAAATAAAATAAAATAAAGATAAACCCCCAAAAAGAAAGAAATAATGTGAAAAAAAAAAAAAATAAAAAATTGAAAAAGGAAAATTAAAATCAAGGTACGAAACTGACAGACATCTATATTGTGCTGCAGTAAATAATAGTAAAGGTATCTCACTACCTGATCTTCCCATAATAACCAAAAATCAAGAAAAATCGGATCGAAATCGAGTTTAAAAATAAAATAAATTAGATGAAAAGTTTTGATACGACCATTTACATAAACAAAATCACATCATCCAACCACTATAATATAGTAACTCTTTTTTTTTTTTAATTAAAATAATATGAACTCGATTTCAAAAGTAAATAAAAAAGTTAATTGGGAGAACGAGAAATAAGTTTTTTTTCTTTTTTTTTTTTTATTCTACGAATATACGTATATATATTATTATTTTTGTTAAAAGAGAGAGAGAAAATTATATATATGTATATATGATATTTTTTTTTTTTTTTGTTTTTTTTTTTTTTTTTTTTTTTTTTTGGTGAGATATTTGGAAAACAATTAAATTAAACTATTATTACTACAGCAAACGCGACTGACCGATCGCACACTTGTAGTATTATACCAACATCGAAAGTATTGAACAGCAGTTAAAGGTAGGTTTCATAAGTCATTAAAACAGCAGAAAACAGCAGGAAACAGCAAATAATTATAATAGATAGAGATAAAAAATTTAAATGATTGGTTTTTCGTTCAAGGTTAACGATCAGAAGAAGCAGAAGGTGAAAGAGGTGGAAGAGTCACATTTTGCATATATGATTTTTGACCAATTCCGGTATTAACAGGAGGAGAAGGTAATACTGAACGAGCCGCAGCATTAGAAGCCATAGCTTGATCCAATCCGACCAAGATAGCGGTGGTTCTGTTAAGCAACATGCTCAAGTGGGAAACCTCACGTTGTAACTCTTGACGATGAGCTTGCAAGACTTGTTGCGTAATACTAGGATCAGGGACCGCAGCAGTCGGTAAAGGTTGTTGATGGGATGGAACGTTGTTTGAGAAGCTCGAATGAGATGAAATGGTTGAAGGAGGACTTTGTGATACCATACTGCCAACTGAACTAATAATTGGTGGCAATTGTGGAGGTCCGGTTGGGGAACTAGGATTCAACAAGGAGGAAATTGAACCCGAAGAGCCTTGAGGTGAAACATTATTGTTATCATTATATTGACCAGAGAATACGGAAGGTAAAGGAACGCTTGGAGTACCCATAAGACGACTATTAAAAGCTCCAGCGTTATTATTTTGATTATTTTGATGGATGTGAACTTGAGGCAAGCCAGAAGTTAAAGAGGGTTCGACAGGGGACAAACTACGTCTACGTTCATAAGATTCTTGACCAGGGTTATTCCACATCCCTTCACCATTATTATGAGTGTTGCGATTGATATAATCCTCAATGAGAGGAACTTGCCTAGCGTTTCCGCAACGACGTTTATTAGTAACGATGGACTCATCGGCTTTTCTCTTACGTCCGACATTCAAATCTTCGATCGAACAAATGTCATCATCGGATGAAACATATCCACGTTCAGAACCAGAACCAGAGGTTGAGGGTGGAGTAGGAGGATTATGAACTCGAATTTTCCTAGATTGATGTTCATTATCAGATCCTCCAGATTGATGATGAGTTTGAGGTGGTGGAGTTGTAGCCAAAGCAACACGTTTACGACGCTTGATCACTGATCTTTTCATGGTTACGGGACGGTGAACGTTGTGCAACTTAAAGTAAAGACCTGGAAGAATGAAAAATGGAGGTAAGTAACTGGTACAAGGTAACACGACGTCATGAAAGATAGATTTCCGTCTGCTTACCACAAGCGTTGCATATCGTGTTACCAGCCTCATCTCTACGCCACAAAGGGGTAGTGTTCGTTCCACAATTCGCGCATATCAAGGCTTGGCGATTCACTTGATGTTGATTGTAAGCCGGACAACCATCACAAGAGCTTGATCCGCCAGTACCATCACAGTGACCATCGCCTGGACAAGTTCCGCAGTTACTATTACTTTCGAGAGTTTCAGGAATGGATGGTGTAGCTTTTTTAATAGCATTACGTTTTAACCATGGCGGACGAACTGTATTGCGAGCCTTGAGGTAAAGTCCTAATGATGAGATAATAGGAAACATGATGATACACAAATTAATTAATTACATTGTCGGTGTCTAGAAAAGCAATTTATTTGACGTTGAACAAAGATGGAATTTGTGATAACATACCACAAGCATTGCAAATCGTCTCTCCGGTTGGAGCTCTCCTCCACAAAGGTGTGGTGGTTGTACCGCAGTTTGCACAGACTGTAGCGGACACACCATGACCTTCCGTCTTACAAGAACGAGATTGAATAGATCCAGAAGAACCTTTTCGGTTATTGGACATGTGTTGAATAGGTTGCTGTTGTAACATTTGCTGCTGTTGCTGTTGCTGATTGAATTGCTGTTGCTGTTGCTGTTGGACAACGTTTTGCCGATGATGGCTGTCAGAACATTGTTGTTGTTGAGAATTGGAAAGCATATTTGCAGCGGAATGATCCATAATTCTTGGAAGGATAAAAATTGGAAGGATAAAAGGGTAGGTATGTCTTGAGTTGAGTTACTTTTTTCTTTTCGAAACTTAAGAGTGCTGTTCTGTTTTTTGAAAAATTTATTTTTTAACCGCGGTAAAGAGATTTTGAGAGAGAAATGGGGGGTTGATTCGAAAGTTGTGGGTTTTTTTTTTGTAGCGCGAAGCGGAATGTGAGATACTTCCGTGGAAGTAAGTAAGTAACAAAAAAGTTGACTTTTTTTTTGTTGTTGCGCGACTTCTAAAAGTAAGTTTGAAGGGTGATAACGGTTTCAGTTGGGCTTTCGATGTGGTATAAAGCAAGTGTACGGTCAGTGGTTGCAGGTCTGGAATATTTAGTTATGGCAGTCCAGTTATGCATGGAAATTGAAAAAAAAACCGCTAAAAAAATTTAGCGAAAGAGCTTTTTTGTTTTTTTATTTAATTAAAAAAAAACAAATACAATAAATTAAAAGATATTTAATTAATTAAAGAGGAAAAAAAATTTTTTTAATTTGTTCAATGTTATAAAAATGTTGATAATAAGAAAGGGTAAAAAAAGAAGTAAGAAAGGTAACGCTAGGTTTTTTGATAACTTTTTTAATGCAAAGAAAATCTCAAAGTATTTTTTACGAATATTGACGAAAAAAAAAAGGGTAAAGGAAGAAGACCAGGTCTTTATATAAAAAGAAAAAAAGAAAAAAGGAAGATTAAAATAAAGGGCGTTTTGTTCTGTAAAAAAAAAAAAAAAATTTTTGTGTATTTGTGTAATAAATAGATTAGAGATAAGAAATAAATATACAATATTATTATAAAAATTTTTAGATAAGTGATGATGATAAACAAGATAGAAAAAATTGTTTTTTTTTTTTTTGCATTAAAAAGGTCGGGGCAAATCCCCTATTTTGTTTAAACAACAAATTGAAAGGAATTTCTACATATAGATAAGATATCTTTTATTTATATGTAATAAAGTAAATTTATCAATTGATAAGTAATCTGAATTTGTCATCTGTAAAAAAAAAAAAAAAAAAAAAAAAAAAAAAAATGGTAATATATATATAAAATAAAACTAAATAATGATGTTGTGTAATATCGTCCAATGAAAAAAAAAAAAAAAAATCATTTTTAGGAGTAGATTAAAGTGTGGCCTGTAAGGTTAAACCATATATAAGGGCAGGTGAAAAAAGCCAAAAATATTTTTTTAAGATAAAGTGTTAAAATTAGGTTTTTTTTTTTTTTCGTTTTTTTTTTAAAGTTTGAAAAAACGAGTAGACTGCGCGAGTAGTGATAGACATTGGAATACATGAGATAAAGAGTTTTAAGATGGTATCTTTAGTATAAAGTAGGAATGTAACACAAGATAATGTACATTCAAATAACAAATCATTAATAATATTATCATTATAATTAACTTACAAAACTTGATCGAAAATTTTGTAAAAAAAAAAAAAAAAATTGCTTCGATAGCGTTCTTGATTTTTAATTAATTACTACGGCGGTAATCGTATCAATTCAAAAGATCTAAAAAAGTAAATAAAACCTTTGATAAGAAAGAATGAAAAATAAAACACAGGGGTTCAATGTTTTCTTTCATGAGAACTTTTTTTTTTTAAAGATGATTGTTTTCTTGACAATTCACACGTTTAGTAATCTGATTAAATTATATCTTTTTGGTCTACCTTAGTTGTACAATAAAAAAACACTTTACCAAGCATTACACAAATGAACAAGCGTTTCCTTTTCTTATTATTGTTTGATGAATGAATTGAAAGACACATATAATCATACATGGATATATGTATATAAAACGCCACTTTTCCAAATAATAAAGAAAATTTTTTCTTTCGTTGGGGGGAATAATTCATGTTGAGATAAAACAAATTATTTCGACATACAATAGATGATTGAATCGGAAAGAAGATAACCGGAGAAAAGTTGGTCTGTA